CTGTGGAGGGCAGTGTCACTGGCCCTCATATGTGGGATCCGAACCGGGGCCCTCTGGCATCCCAAGCCAGCTCTTAACCAATGCGCCACTTGGCCGGCCCTGAAAGTAATTTTCTATTATTAAAGCTATTTAATCAATTATTCATAACATTAATTGCAATTAAAGAGGCAGTGCACTAATTTTAAATTTTGTGACACAGAAATAAAAACTAAAAAACCGTATTTTTGCAAATTTTATTCATCACATAAATTTAAAATATACATATTCATAATATATACAATCTCAATATAATAACCTTGAACAAATAGCTTGATGCCAAAATTCTTTGATAAGCTTTATTTGATAATATAATGCTTTTAAAAACAACTATAAGGCTTCTTTTATTGTGTTTCTCTTTGGCTTCCCATCTTAGGATGTTTCTGGGATAACCAAGAAGCTTCAAAAAGCATTTTCTGAATTTTCCCAGTTGGTTCCATTCTGAGGGAATGAAATGAGAGGGAAAAGAAGCTCTGCTATGGACGAGTATGGGGAATGCTTCCATACTAGATGCAGAGAAAAACTGTGGGAGGTTTACTTTGAATTCTGAAAAGCGATGGGATTATGAATGATCTTAGCTGTTCCTCCTTTTCATCTATCTGAATTTAAAAAATTAATCCATTTTTATAGCTCACATGCATTACTCATATAATTAAAAAATATCTAAAAACAAATGCACCAGGCAAACAAAATACATCATAGGTCTAGAGGCACAAGGTATGGCTGGCTGTATGTTGAAGAGATCAGAATATGACACTCCAAAATATGTCTCTTTGGTATCGGATTATTTTGAGCTGAAGGCAACCGAAAAACAGCAGACAAAGGAAGAATTCTCTGCTCTCCTCCATTATGCCCCCAAACACGGCACACATTTCCTTTTAAAAAGCTGTTCGCCTCTCAAGTACCAGAAAGAGAAGAGCTACTCTTATCTACACAACAAACCTTACTAAATAACTCTTGTTTACTGTACATTTCGTGTTCGTTTCGCACAACTTACCCTCAACCCCAGATGCCCAAACTCACCACCACCCTTCCTTTGTCTAGTCTCTTCACACTTCATCACATTTTGTTAAAATGGTATATAAGCCTCTGGGTCGAATTGCCTCTTTATTATTTTCACTTTTTTTTCTGTGAGGCCCTCCCCACCTTAATGTATGCATATGAAATAAATCTTTTCTCCTATTAATCTGCCATTTGTCAGTTTAATTTGCAGGCCCCAGACACTTAACCTAAGAGGGTATAGGAGAGGTTATATCCTCCTCTATGATGTATTCTGTAAAAGCAGAGGAGGAGGGGACTTGTAGGAGACTAGCACGCAATAATATGAAAATGCTTCTCAAATTAACTGTGGCACAAAACTAGTTTTTCTCCTTCAGGTATATTATGAACCAATATTTTATAAAATACAAAATCATGTGCTATGATTTCACAGCAATATCAACTTGCTCTAACAGT